ATCTTACACTTTTAATCCATCTGTCAAGTTGATTTTCAACTTCAGCTTTATAGAGTTTGAACATATCCAGTGCTTCTGATTTTTCACGAATAAGATACACTTAAGTATACCTAGAAAAGTCATCAATAAAAGTAATAAAATATTTATGTCCAGAAATAGTTGGAACAGTAAAGGGACTACATATATTAGTATGAATTGTGTCTAATAATTCAGTAGTCCTAGTAGCACCTTCTTTGTCTTTGTGTATTTTCCTTTAATGCAATTCACACAAGTACTAAAATCAGAAAAATCAAGTGAACTTAAAATTCCGTCTTTAATAAGACGTTTCATCACTCCTCTTGATATGTGGCCCAAACACTTATGCCACAAGATGGATGAATATTCATTCACTTGCTTTCTCTTTTTATTTACCAAGTCGTTTACATTAAAGGATAAAAGAGATTGTGCATAAGTGGAATCTAAATTCAATGAATAAAGATTACCATATAAAGTACCAGAACCAATCATATGAGAATTGTGAAATAAAGAGACTCTATTATTTCCAAACTTAAATTCATAACCATAGGAATCAAGTTGTGAAACAGAAATTAGGTTTCTAGTAAAAACAGGAACATAAACTGTGTTTACTAAATCTAAAATAAAACCAGAGTCTTAAATTAGACGGAGGGTGCCAATAGCCTCAACGTCCACTTCTATTTCATTCCCAACCGTAATGGTTCGTTCTCCTTTATTTAATTTCCGACTTGTAAGGTATCCCTGCAAGGAATTTGTTATGTGAATACTTGCACCAGTGTCAATCCACAAAGAATTTGGTGGAACATCTACCAAAAGGGATTCATAAGACACAAAGCATTGAGTGTTACCTTTCTTGTCCAACCAACTTTTAAAACCTGGACAATCCTTTCTTATGTGACCTTTCTTTCGACAGAAATGGCATCGAATCTTATTTTCTTCATTAGCCTTGTGAGTTTCATCATTTGCATTCTTCTTCTTCTTACTTTTGCCTTTCTTGAAAATCTTTTTGGTTGGGAATTGCAGGCGTAATTGAGCCTTTCATTATCATTAGACTTAAGCGATTAGAGCGTTCCCATTTTTCATATAAAGCCATGTGTTCCTTAGAACTTGTATCATTAGGCTTTGTAGGAGCTGGCTCTCTTAATGCATAGTCTAAATCCATAATTTTCAAAACAATTCCAATTTGTTCCTTCCATTTCTTAAAATTAGTTTCACTCAAAGCTTCAATACCAGACAAGTAGCTATTAATGGAAGTAGGATTCAATGCTGCAAACACATAATATCCATTACATAATATAATCAAGAAAACTACTTTTCACATCTCATAAAAATAACACCACAAGTTAAATATATCTAACTATAAAACATAATTAGTTAGATACGAAATCAAGGTATTTCTCCGTTGGGCCGAATAACAATATATTTTAACAATTCATAAAAGTAAATGAGATGATTAATGAAAATAAACAACATAAAATAAAATAATCATTAAGACCGTAACGAGTTTATCACCGTTGGGCAAAAAAACTCAATGTCTCTTATTTTATTTTATTAACTAAAGCATGTGAGAAGTTTATCACCGTTGGGCAGAAAAATTTATTGCTATATTTATTATACTAATCATCTCGGTTGTTCAAACATACATAGTGTTGAACCTCCGTTGGGCTGATCAACAATGTTTCAACTCATAAGGTGTGTAACAAAACATTATAAGTGCATAAAACATTATCTTAATTACCACTTGTTCAATAATTTTCAAATTTTATTTTAATATCAATAGAATAAAAGATTGGCCAAAAATAAAAATAAAATTGGACAAGTGTAAATCAAGGTTTTGCACTTGTTACACAAAGCATCATTATAAAATGAAATTCATACTTATTCGTTTCATGCATCAGAATTGAGAACCATGTTCTGATACCAATTGATAGAAAACTTTGCGGAACATAAACTAAAAACCATTAAGGATTCAATTCTATACATGAAAACTATATGAATTTCTACTGCACAAAATAAGTAAATACATACCTTGATCCATGATAGTAAGAAATCCTCTTGTAAGAAAGAGAAACCTTGAATGGAAGACCTTGATCTTTACATTCTTTACTTGTCTAAGATCTTCAAACCACTTCTCTCTCTCTCTAGGCGATGGGAGCCTCCTTGTGATGACAACTTGAGTTTTTGATGGAGAGTGTGGTTTGAGACCTTACACTATTTATACTAGTATTCTTCCCATCAAAGAATCCATTCATTCAATAAATTTCATTAAATAGATTAATGTATCTAATACATTCATGATACATAATGCATCTTCTATATTAATGAATTCATTAGATAGATTAATGTATCTTATATATTCATAATAGATACATAATGCATTTTTAAGATTCATTCATAATGAATCTATCACATTCAATGTATTATCATTAGTCTTCTATACATTATGTATATATAGGTGCATTCATCTATAATTAGTCACCATCTAATTGATGTACATGTATCTTACTTAATGAGATGAATCTAGTATAATCATGCATAAGCCACATTAAGCCATATTTAAGAAAAATTCTTACATATGATCCTTGTTATTATCAGAAAATGATTCTAGTGCTCACTACAACAAAATACATCTTTGGCGACTAAAATTGGCGACTAAAACAAATTTAGTCGCCAAAAGTTTTGGAATTGGCGACTAAAACTTTTTTTTGGTCGCCAAAAATATAAAATTTAGCTACTAAATTTTTTATAGTCAGGATATATTAATTATTGGCGACTAAAAAATAATTTATTCGCTAAAAATACTAGAATTGGCAATAAATAAAATTTTAGTCGCCGTATATTGAGTTTTGGCTACTAAAATATTTAGTCGCCGAGTGTAAAATTAAAAATTTATTTTTTATCTTTTGGCGACCAAAAGTTTAGTCGCCAAAACATATTTTCAACGACCAAAAATCAGTTTAGTCACTGTATATTAGTTATTGGCTACTAAAATATTTAGTCACCAAATGTAAAATTAAAAAAAAAAAAAAAAAACTATCTTTGGCGACCAAAAGTTTAGTCGCCAAAACATATTTTTGGCCACCAAAAAGTAGTTTAGTCGCCAAAAAATAAAATAAAAAAATTGGAGGGAGACATTTATAATTTAAATTTGAGGAATTTATAAAAGTAACCACTGGTATATATTTTAAATTTGGTGTAACATATATATAATTGGCAACCACTGGTATTTTAGTCATCAGTTGTATAACATGATATATATATATATATATATATACTTTTTACCAAACCAAACCCTAAAATAATCTGCGCCTCTCTCTCTCTCTCTCTCTCTCTCTCTCTCTCTCTATTTTCGGCGTCCCTCTCCCTCTCCCTTCCCGTCTCCGCTACTCCTCTCCCCTCCCTCTCTCACTGCCACTCTTCTTCGCCTTCGATGGAAATCGGAGCACCTCATCCTCCTCCGCCATCGCCATCGCCATCGTGAGTACTACCGATCTTTTCACACCACCGCCTCCTCCTCCTCCGCCGATCTTCACAGATCCACCACCGCGAGATCCAGAGGCTTTATCGCTGAGATGAACTCTGCTCCATTGATGCTCCGTCTCGCATATGCTTTCTCTCTCTCTCTCTCTCTCTCTCTCTCAAAATATTCAGAGGTTTCTTGTGGGGATCTTAAAGATCTTATTGGTCCTTTTGATTCTCCATCTAAGGGAGATTGAAAATGGGGATTGTGTTTACTCGATTGTTCTCTTCGCTTTTTGGTAACAAACTCGTTCTTGGTCCTGACAATGCTGGAAAAACCACAATTCTCTGTATGATTCTTTGATTCTACCCTTACCATTTTCCGATCTTGCATTTCTGTCAACTGGGTTCTCCCCAATTTTGATAATTGAGTAACTCAATTTCATTTTTTTGTGCAGATCGACTTCAGATGGGTGAAATTGTCTCCACAATTCCAAGTTGGTACTCTTTCTTGGTTTCTTTTTTGTTTGCATAATCTTTCTTTGTTTGCCAAGAAGATCAGGGGATTGGAGACCATCGGATTCATGATTTACAAATTGATAAAATTTTTAATTTAAAAATTATAGTGCTGATTTACTGCATTTTTTTTTTCAGAAGTGGAAAGTTTGATACTTCACTCTAAAGTGTCATATTTTCTTATTTTGGTACTTGTGGATTAATTTCTGTGTGTGTATATATTTGATGCAGCAATTGGGTTTAATGTGGAAACAGTTCAATTTCTGTGTGTATATGTTATGTTCTGGGGGTTGCCATTGTTTGTTGGAGGATAGTTGTTTTGTAGATGCCTTAAGGAACTATAACCCTTAATGGAAAGCACATGAGTCACTATGTTTCTGGGTGCACAATGGTTGAAATTTTTTCTACAATCTAGTAATCCTTGCTTCATTGAAACTTTGTTACACATTAAACTTGGACAACTTAACTTGTCCAAAAAAAAAAAAAAACATGGACAACTTTTGGTGTCCACTCGGTCTCCACTAAAAATTATCAAAATGGCCCAATGGTCTTGATTAGTAGATTTTTGGATCCATTTCTTTGCATTTTCTATTGTCTGCCTCCAAAGAAATTGTAGTTGCTGTTCTTTGCTTTTCAATAGGTTATATTGTAGCATGTTTGGATCAAATGAAGAAGATGAATTGCTTTTAGAAGAACCTACAGAGAATGTTCATGTAAACATAATACACTCCAAGGATTTAGATTGAAACGAAGTCAGCTAAATGAGTCTTTTTTTACCATCCCGATCTGAATTGCACAAGTTAAAGGCTCTATGCAGACAACCATAGTTTATATGTTACTTATGCTATCATTCTTTTCTAATCATTGTGCAGGTATGTGGATGTGATCCTTCAGTTGATTGATAAAGCAGGCGATTTTGTCAGTGATGACATTTGGTTTCGTGTTGTGCAATTTGTTACGAACAATGAAGACCTACAGGTGACTAAAACTTTTCTTACATATGACAAATAATGAAGCAATTTGTTACGAACAATGAAGACCTACAGGTGACTAAAACTTTTCTTACATATGCTTCATTATTTGTCTTGTCTTTTTATGAAATTCATTCATTCACTATTTGCCTTACACTTTTTATATTTCATTAGCTTTATGCAGCAGTAAAAGCCAGGGAGTATCTTGATAAGCCTGCTGTACACGAGACAATGGTCAAGGTGTGTATATGTAATTTTTTTTATGATTCATAAAGCTGTGTATATTTTGCCCATGATTCATTTACATTTTCTCATAAAATGTGAAAAAGAATATATTTTAGGTGTTAGTAACTCAAACATTAGAGCTAATGTTTAGTTTGACCCTTTGGTGCTGATACAACCCCACATTGTTGTGGTACACACTTTTAGTTTAGTAGTAAATGCATTTTATTGATATTGCATGTTGTTGACATGAAGAACAAGGACTTTGTTGGACTTGGAATCTGTGGCTTTTTGTATTAGGCTTATACAAAGTCCGGTATTTTTGTTTTTTACAAAATAGGCATATTTTGGATTTTGCCAGCTCTGAACTACCTTCTTATGTTTAATATTGTGTCCTCTCTTTGCTAGATTAAGGACTCGTTTGGAAACAAGCTAATTTAGTAACTTTTTGGATATTTGGTTAAAATATGAGCTAAAAAAACTAGTATGTTTGGGATGATTTTTTGACTTTTTACGAAAAGATGTGCAAAAAGTAGAGAGAAAAGAGAATCTTTGACTTTTTGGTATGAGTTGTTGGCTTTTTGATTTTTTTAGTGACTTTTTGATTTTTTGGCTAAAAAAATCACTTGCCAAATGAGGCCTAATTACCAAGTTCCTAACCATTTCATAATTTTTTATTTAATTAATCAAGTTATTTATTTATTTATTTTGGATAAGTAAAAACCATTTCATAATTTAATTACGCATCCCAAGATTAATTATCGAGGAACTTTTTTTGGATCAAATCAATTGTAAGGCATAATTGTATTTGCGCATTGGGTTTTTTGGGAGCAGGTCAGTGCTTATATCCTTGGAGAATACAGTCACCTTCTGGCCAGACGGCCTGGGTGTAGTCCAAAGGAGATTTTTAGCATCATACATGAGAAGCTTCCTACTGTTTCGGAAGGGCACTTGAACTTTTGCTTTCTTGGTAATATTTGTTGTTCATCATTTAAGTAACTTAATGGACATTATGCATCACCAGGACTTCTACGATTTCCATTCTTCTTTCAACATATGCTAAGATTTTAATGCACAATCAACCCCCAGACCCAGAATTACAGAATCAAATTTGGGAAATTTTTCACAAGTGAGTTTTAACCCATTCTGGTTTGTAATTTTTTCCTTTCATTTATTTAGAGCTTGTGGTTCATGCTCTCTCACAAAATGCCTTGAAATTCTTTTACACTGTCTTGCCCTTCTTTCTTTCCAGATATGAGAGTTGTATTGATGTTGAGATACAGCAAAGAGCTGTTGAATATTTTGCATTGAGTAGGAAAGGTGCAGATTTAGTGGATATATTGGCTGAAATGCCTAAATTCCCCGAGCGCCAGGTATGTGATCTACAACATTTGAGTACAATCGGATTCAACCCAATTTCTTTTAAGAATTGTTAGCCCAGTTTCTTTTAATATATATCTATATATGTGCACATATGTATATACATGTATGATACTGTTTATAACACTGATAGTAGTATCTTCTTTTGTATTTAGTCTGCATTGATTAGAAAAGGTGAAGATACTGAAGCTGATACTGCGGAGCAAAGTGCTACTAAGTTGCGGTCACTGCATCAAACTTCTAATGCATTGGTAATGACTGACCAACGCCCTACCAATGGAATGCCACCTGTGAACCAGCTTGGTCTGGTGAAAGTGCCTAACATGAGCAATGTAGTGAGACATGTTTGAGCTGGATTTTATGAACCATAGAGTTGACAATTTGAGATTCTATTAATTTTAGCTTCACTTGGAAATTGATCAAGGGTTGACTATTTGGACAGGATCATAACTCAGCAAATCAAGGGGTGACTGAGGCGAATGGGACTCTGACTGTGGTGGATCTACAACCGCTTGACCCTTCAGCTGACCCTTCAGCATGGACCACTTTCTCCCCTTTTTTTTTTCAATTGATGTCTTATCTACTTTCTCTTTCATTTATTTATTTATTTATTTTTTAGGGAAAATTACATACACAAAAAAAAAAAAAACAAACAAACAAACAAACAAGCAAACCCACGGTTTAACCATGGAATTATGTATGGAATTATATTTTTGAGATTGGATTATACTTGATTTGTATATAATTTTTTTTAGAAATATTAATTTGATGTTAAATATGATTTTTTTTTTATGGTTGAAAGTGAAATGTGCGTGTGTTATGGAATGGTTGCTAATTTTATCAGTATATAGATAATTTTATTTATAAAATGGAAAAAAACTTTTGGCTACTAAATATTTGGTAGCTAAAAATAAAAATAAAATGGAGAAAAACTTTTGGCTACTAAATATTTAGTAGCTAAAATAAAAGCAGACTTTAGGCGACTAAGAATTTAGTAGCTAAAAAAAATAAAATGAAAAAAATAAAAAAATAAAAAGATTAAAAAAACCCTTTGGCGACTAAAACTTTGGTCGCCATAGATACTTCAAGTTTTGGCGACCAAAGTTTTAGTAGCGGAAAATAAGATTTTCGGTGACTAAAATTTTATTTTAGGCGACTAAAAATATTAGTCGCCATTTATAGGACTTTTGGCGACTAAAAAATATTTAGTCGCAAATACCTTCTCCAACAAGCTTTCCGCGACCAGCCTAGCGACCAAAATATTTAGTCAGGCAAAGCATTTGACGACTAAAAATTGTACTTTTGACGACTAAAAATTTAGTCGCTAAATGTGCATTTTGTTGTAGTGGCTCAGAATAACTGGAAAGGCGTGTGGTGGCACAGCAGCCTAACCACTCACTTAGGTAATTTTTTCTTTAGTTCCACTTATTTAGGTAAATTGCTTTTATTGGCAGACCTTGAACATGCTATGTGTCAGAGTGAAATGATTTGAACCAAAAAAGACAGATTTAGTAAATTCTGTTGAATATTTTCCCCACTGGCTTCATTTTTATATATAGCAAGCTCATTTGCATTTCTGTCCCATCTCTTCTTCTTTTTTTTGATTGATGTCCCATCTCTTTTTCTGTACATTGTGTATTTGAAACTTTTGCCCGTTGCTTTTTGGTTCCCTTCATGCCTTTTGGTATGGCTATCAAATAAGCTTTGCGTTTCCATGTCTCTTGGTATTGTTAATTGCCTCACAATTTTTTTTATATATCCTAGTCTTAAGAGTTGTTTGGGGTATCTTAAATAAGTACATTTTTTTGTCTTTTTGGACTAAAAAGTTGAGGAAAAAAATATGGTTGTTTGGGTTAACTTTTTGACTTTTTATAGAAAAATGTGTATGGATGTTTGGGTTAACTTTTTTGACTTTTTATGAAAAAATATGTATTAAAAAATTGTATAAATTAGTGTGTAGGGAAAAATTAGGATTGGGAGTTGTGCGGCCGTAATTTTTGACTTTTGGTGAATAGTGATAACTTTTTAACTTTTTGAGTAACTTTTTGACTTTTTGACAACTTCTTAAACTTGGCCTTAGTAGCTGAAACTTTGCATTAAACAGGCTTTCTGGAGGAAGATAGCCTATATGCATTAAAAGGCCAAAAGGGCACGTATTATTTTGAGTTCTCAAGCCTTTGAGAACTGTGGGGATATATTTTTGAGTACCAACACGTGGCAAGGTGACGCCGACGTGTCAGTCGAGGTGCCACGTGTCCTGGTCGATATGTCGAGGTCATCTCAATTAGACCGAGGTTATCTCCGAAGATATCGGAATCCGAGATAAGCAGATAAGAGATAAGGGACAAGAATCCTAGAATAAAGAAGAGACTTAGCCAAGATAAGGATAAAGCTCTTAGAGAGTTTATCTTTATCTCTTGAGGAGTCCAAAGTAAGTACTGAACAGGAATCCATAGAAGTCAGGCTTCTATTGGGATTAGGATTGAGGTAACTATAAAAGAGAGGCACCCCCATAGGTCTAAGGTACGCAATTTATATTCTGTCTAGTGAGTTAAGCACTATTGATTATCTTTGAGAGATATACTAACTTGATCGTCGGAGTGCCCCCGGGTGGACGAACCACCGCCGGAATCTTCTCTTTCTGTTACAAGTTAGCCAGGTGTCATCTATTCTGCCAGTGTTCTCCAACTGAATACTGAGTTGGGCAGTGTGATCAGAAAATCACTCACACAATTTGGCGCCGTCTGTGGGAAAGAAAGTAGAATAGATGGCCAGTAACGGACAGAAGGAAAAGATTGGGGACGACACTCCTGCTGGAAATGGGAGACCTATTGACCTTGATATCACAGGAGACGAATGCAATGCAGAAACTCGTGACCAGAATCACGAAGCGAAAGACGTCAGCCAGATTGGCGACGCACCAAAGAAACCTGATCAAAGCAGGTACTACAACGAGGACGACCTCCAGGTTTGGAAGGATAGGTGCCTACGGAGGGATGAAGATGTAATGCCCCCAAAGTGCGTATAGAAAGTTATCCTTATTTAATTAGGGGTTAATGTGCTTGCCATTGGAATTGAAGAATTATCCGTTGGATTATGCCTTTGAAACTAGATTGGTGACCTTTACCAAGCAACCTGAAAATTTTCCCTCCGCTCGAGCGGAATAGTTGGCGCTCGAGCGTAATTTTGGGGTTCCCAGCAAATTTTGCAGGCGGCCTGAGATTCTGCGAGTTGTGATTTCCCGCTCGAGCGGGGGATTAGACGCTCGAGCGGACTACCTTGTTGGTCTGCGCGCTCGAGCGCAAGGTTGGGCGCTCGAGCGGGTCTCTTGGTTAAGTTTAAATTTCTGAGGCACGTAGGTTCGTTTTTGGACATTTTTATTAGTGTATTTAGAACCTCCTTATCTTATGTTGGAGTATTGATTGAGATGATAATATGATGGTAAAGTAAGATTGGATCAAAAACTTTAATTTGAATAATTCGTTTACGACCAACCGTCACTCTTTTGCCCTTTTCTTGTTCCACACTTGGAATTTGGATGTGAGGTTAGAACCATTGGAAAGCTTATTCTCGGGGCTTCAATTTGGGCACAAGAACGACCTAAAACGGAGTCCGGATGGGGGAGTTATACCTGTTTGAAGTTTTGAAATCTGTGCTGGGAGCAGGTCCGCTCGAGCGGGAATTGGGACGCTCGAGCGGGAATAGCGGGTTTTTCGGGACAGCAGCTTTAAAAACGGGATTTTGGATCATTTCTCATATTTTTCTTCTTCCCTCTTCCTTCCTCTTTGCCTAAGTCCGAAACCCTAGCCCCAAATCCTTGAATCCCTTTACTTTGCTCACGATCCACCATGGTTTTTGGCATCAAGGATAGAGAACAAGGGAGGATCGACGATTTTACCCGATTAGAACTTGGATTTGTGAAGGCTTCTTCTCAAGCTCACTTCTTTGCTTGATTATTGAGGTAAGGGTTTGAATACTCTTCATTTGAAGATGTTGGAAGTTAATTAATGGGTTAAAATGGTGAATTATGAGTCCTAGGTGTATAATCAATGGAAAAGTTGGAATAAAAAGTGTTGGGTTAATAAGTTTGATTATTTCTTGAAATCTCCATATTTTCTTGAAACCCTAGGTTGATTAAAGATGATAACTAAAGATTTAACCCAAATTGAAAGTAGAATAATGAAATTGAGGTATTTAATCATGTATATGCAAATTTAATTGGAATTTGGTGATACTTGGAAATTATGTTTAAAATTGCGAATGAACTTTGTTATGAGCATGGTGAATCATGTCTTAATGAGAAAGGAGATTGGGAGGAAGGGTTTGTTGACGATGTGGATGATGTAAACTTGGCTACGGAATATTGAATTGAGTCTTAGCAAATTAATTTGAATTATGTGGAATTATAATTGGTAGTATTGAGTTGAATAATGTTAAATAGTGTGGATTATCTTGGATAGTAATAATTATGTGGGGTTATGTCGATTATGTCGAATTGTGTTAAATGTTGTTGAATTGAATTGTGTAGGGTTATCTGCAGGGACGGACCTAGCATCTAAACACTGTGAGTAGTAGTACAAAAATGTATAGTTTATCTATTATTGATAATTATTGTTACTAATGCTCTGTTCTTTGTAAGTGTTATACGAACATCTATGACAATTGGAATTCAAAATGAACTGACATGAACACTGAAAGATTCGCGTATGTCGGTATGATTTTGGAATCCTTTATTCTGTTAATGACAAATATTAACCCTTTGTTATTTATAAGCATCCTTTGTGATTTCTTAAAGGATAAGCGGAACTGATGTTCATCTTCGAAGAATCAGAATAATTGGAAAAAAAACTATGTGAATCCATATGAATCTGAAGTTGTTTGGTTGTGTTACACATGAATGCAAAGGTCTAACATCCTTATGTGACTACATAAGAATATGAATTATTCTATTATGTTAGGTGCACAATAATGACATAATATGACAAGAAAGGCCCTGTTTTCTGATATGTTACGTTATGACTTAATGAATGTTCACAAGTTTATACAGTAAGAAAACGTAACCAACCTACCATTCTTTTTAAGAGACAAATAATAATATTCTAAACATGAGATAACAATATAATTATACACAGAAATTACAACCATTAGAATAGTTTCAGTAATTTTAATAAATTAGGTGACACTCGAAATCTCACCAAAGAGATTTAACTCACCAACCACTAAGCATGGCAACGGTTAATTTGAAACCCTCCCTTGGTCAAATATTTAAGTGTTACCAACCGTAACTACCAGGGATGCCCACGTCCGGAGTTATATACCCAAGTAGTGGCATCCGTGGTCTGCCCTAAGG